TGAGAGCGAATAAACGATGTTCTGAAAACATAATACATTGGAAATGCGTTCTCTTCGGAAATTAACGCGCTGTAAGCTTCATTCTATCTTCCACATGTAATATGTGATAAAGATAGAATAAAGCTTATAGTGCGTGAATGCCTGAAGCAAACGTATCTTAAGAAAAATAAATTAAAAGTTATTCAAGCAGGAGATAGCATTAAAGCCATACGTAGATAATAGTAAAACTTACTGAAAAATTTGTTTTTTTAAATATTTTTTTTTAAATATTTTTACCACCTTCTTACTTTTTTAATACCTATAAATATGTTTTTTTTCTTTCTTCCCATACTTTTTTCTTCTTTTTTTTTATTAGGTTTTATCTTTTTCCCATTTGTTCGTTCAATCGTCCGAAGTGAAATCTCGTTAACTAATCTGTTCGATATCGTTTGCCACCTCATTGCTCAACATCACTTAAATAATGCGCAACGAAAAAACATTGTAGAAGTGAGCAGCTTTAAAACAAAATTTTAAACTCATAATTTACAAAAACAAGGAAATAAAAATTAAAAATATAAAAATATTATATCTATTTTTATTTTTGGAAAAATGTGATAATAATATTTTAGTAAAAAAAATAATATTTCATAACATGTATTACACATAATTTTTGCCATCCAAAAAAATTAAATCTCGAAAAAACTGAAAATCCGATATCATTCGACCTTTCCCTAATTGATATTCTTATTATATCATTTTCGTTTTATAATTATAAATATATAATTGATTATACAAAGTTTTCTGGTTATATTGATAATTTTGTGACAGTGTACTCATATTTACATTCGCATTTTCAACGAACGTGTAATTCTCCCTGCTCATCACGAAATTTAGTCTAGAGCAAAATAGAATTGTCTATCTATCATCTGTATGCCCACCATGCGATGCACTTTCCCCTTTCACGTGCCTAAAAACAGCAACAATGCCGTGGAATATAATCAAGACGGGTGCAACGCCTATTCCCGCATAATGATTCACGTACCATGAATAGAGAATAGTCATTAAGTTGCGCCGCCCGGTGTCATTGCACCCTAGATCCTAGAGGACGCATTGGGGAGTCGAAGGAAAGCGCAGACGGAAAAGTTGGAGGTACACGTAAACGGCTGAAAATCTGACGTCTTGGCGCTCGGCCAAGATCTCCGTGGCTTATCTTCGGATTCGTCTTCATCCCTCATCCTCCGGTGGGCGATCTTCCGCGACGGTCCATGGACTTTTATTCCACTTTCCTGCCGGAGCGACGCGACGCATCGTTTCGCGGAAGCGCCTCCTCGTCATCGTATTGCTATTCTCGGAATCCAAGCAGTTTAATAGGTTCGTCCGATTACGAATTTAGGCGCACGAATGTTTAGCTCCGAAAATTCTTTCAGAGGATTGATTATTATTTCATGATGTCTGTGTTGCTATAAATGTTTGTGATCGTGCAGGACACGGAAACTTTTCTAGCAGCCACCTGGTGTCAACGTTCAGTTTTTATTAATCTTACTTAATATTATATAATTCTATATTTAACAGAAATTTGTTAAATTTAAATTATGAATAAAGTTGCAAGACTTTATACTATACAAGAAACATTGGAAGTAACAACTTCAACAAAACTTCGAAATAATTCGTCGCAAAATTGTATTGAAATAATAATATTCTATAAAATTTTATTATTCTAAAAGATTCATTATAATTTCTATTATTAATTTAACTCATTTCTTTACTAGAATGCGAATACAAAAAAAAAATTTATTATAAAAATTGAAGAAATCGTTCGATTTGCACGTCGTTATCGAGAGGCAAAGTCGGCAAGCATCTTTGAGAAACGAACAAGTTTAAGAAAAATTCGCCAACGGACGAATCTCATCGCGAGATTTTAGATTCCGATCTCCTCGGCTTACCTTGTCGCGCTTCGCGGATGGCCGTGGAATAGAAGAGAGGTGGTTTACCCGAAGACCACGACAGCTGCATCGAGCCAGCGGGGCCTGAAAATAGCACGACAACCCCATGCCGAGGCCGCCGGAGAAGCGGCGAAGTCGAAGTCCTCTCTCTTTCTCTTTCCTCGCGTTCGCTGCTTTCGAATATACGTACTCTATTCGCTAGAAAGCCGCCTACGAGCCTTTTAAATAGCGATTGCGTGCTTTTCTCTTTTTTCCGTCGGAGAGTACTTGCTACCATCAGCACGAGGAAAAGAAGAAGGCCGCTGATTTATAGGAGGAACCATGCATATCCGGATACTTTACGGGACACACGATCTAGTCAGACTTTCTCATCCTAAACGATCCCACCGCCTCATAGAATCACTCTTAATGACTTAGTATCCCTGTCGCATCGACGCAAAAACTATATCCGCCCCCGTACTTATCCATCTTTTTCGAGCGAGAAATTACCTAAAATTGGAAATTCCCCTCTTACAAGCTTGTCCCGATTTAGTAAACTTGTATATATCATCAATGTAATTTATTACTTACCATGTAGTCATTCTTTAAGTCCGTCATCAAAATTGTTCAGATCTCATCGACATTCCAATGAATACAATCGAACTTTAAGCAAATCTCTTTCTGTAGAACTGCACGTGACCGAGATAGCGATTTATCCGTCAAGATCTCTTCGCTATCGTTGTCGTCGCGTATTTTCTCCTCCTCCGCATCTGGGAGCGTTCCAAGAGCGCCGAAAATACGCGAATCACGTTAGTGGGCGAACGGAATACCTTTGAGCACCTGTAGGATGCGCCGCCGGATAAAGCGCGTAGAAAGCCACGAGGTACTAGCATTATTGGTGTCGGTTACGTTAATGGATGGCAGTCGAATTGCGTCAGTGGTTGAAGATGCTCTTGCTTGCTCGATGTGCTCGAAACTCGTGACTTTATTTTTGGCCGTTCAACGACGATACCGTCGACGATTTACGATACCGCCGCCGAGACACCTGTTCCGCAACTCCCATCTAAAGGTTCCTTGCGATTGCGCGTTTTATCCGAAAGCTCGTAAATATTTCATTTTAATGTAAACAGTTGATATGCTTCGACTTTCCTTCTTTTTCTTCCCTGAAAAATTTCAAGCATTTTTTAATATAGCATCGAGAAATGACGTAGGATAGAATAAATATATCGAAGATGTAGAAATCTCAAAAATCGTAGATATTTTTAAAAAACAAAATGTATAAGTTTCATTAATACATTAATTGATACATTTAATAGATATTTAAAAGAATTTTAAATGAAGACTTTCTCTCTTTCTTTCTATCTATCTATCTATCTCTCTTTACACGTTTCTCAAGTCTCATAAATTGAATTGAATGTATAGAAGGATTGATATTTCTCGATTAAATCACCTTTTTACTAATAAAAGGAATTAAATAATAAAAGTAAAAGAAATATAAAATATTTAATATTTAATATCATTTAATAATACAAGTGAAAATAATAATAGGCGAGAAGAAATCACAACAAAAAGTCTATGTGTTCTCTAATTTACTGAATATTTCGCATCTAACAATAAGATAAGCTTTAAATCGGAATCTGAGCTCTTTTTTTCTAATCGCTTTAGAACACGCGTTTCTTGCAAAGAGCAAGATACTATATGGCAGCGGGGCTTTTTGGTCGACGATTGAATGAATGCCACGCGAGTTAGTCAGCGCCGCGGTGCTAAATTCGGCGGACGCCTGGCGTCGTGCCAGAAGAACCACCCAGCGCACCAACCTGTGCTTCTACCCTGTAACCGCCGATGAAATGGCGTCGTTATCATATCTGCTTACCATTAGTCTTCGTTTAAATAACGTCCAAACAGATCGATATAGCGCTGATTCCATTAAGTTTTCTGAACATGTGGTACAAGATTCTGCTTTTCCATTGTTTTCTGCTTTTTTATAAAAACTTGATAGGCATCATAAAAAAAAAGTAGAAGATTAGATTAAATTTCAAACTTCAGGTATTATAAACAGAAACTATGATCGAATGATGGAATTTTAGATGCATGGAACTTTCACTGCAACAAATATATATACATCTCAATCAGAATTAAAAATTCCATTACAAGAACTTATACATTAGAACTAAAGATACATTCTATTTCTTAAAATATCATGCAGAAAAGAACTATTAAGGATTTCGCATAATATTTAATGTGTAATTCTCAAAACCATCTGTGCTATTTTTGGAAGATAATATTAAAGTATTTGAGGAATTAACATTCAATATTATATGTACTGTAATTCTCTTATTAACTTTTATTCCTGATTCTTTTACTATGATAAGTTATAAGAAGAATTATCAGATAATTACCATATCGTAATCTACCGCAATTAATTTTGCCAATTTGTATTTAATTCAATGATTTCTCCAATTAGCAGGATCTAGAAATAAGGAGACGGGACAACTTGTCAAGAGAAGATAAGGGTTGTTAGCAACCACCCTGCAGGAGCCGCGGGGATCAGCCGTGTTCCACTCGCGCGGTCTTTTATCTGCCCCTCTTCAGCAGGGTCATACGCATTCGCCACGCGTGTCGCACATTGCCGATACACCAATGGGACCACCACATGCGCGGGAGAAAACCAGGCGGGCACGCTTCTGAGGCGCGTGCAGCTGAAGAAGAAGAAGAAGAAGAAGAAGAAGAAGAAGAACAAGACGACGACGATGACGAAAAGCGCCGCGGCGGCGACGACGCAGCGGAAGAAGTGGAGAGCAAGGGAGGTTGCGCTGCTATATGTAGCCCCGAATCTTAGCCGGGGCAACTATTACGCCCGAAATTGCCGAAGCGAACGCAACCCCTGCGCCACTCGACGTATATACTTCCAAAACGAATCCTTTCTCTTGATATCGTGATACACCGGTTCTATTCTATTTTCGCGTTGCTACGCTTATATTATAGATAATCGGTGCGACTAGTGTGCTGGTTTGTGAGTCTTGAGTTGATAAGCATGATTTGTGTGCTCTGAGGAGAAAAAACGAGGAGACGAGGAAGATGCCGCGGGC